CTACTAAGTACCTAATACCAGCCCAGAAGAGAACAAGAAATAGCCACGCATTCAAGTACCAGAGTTATCAACCAAGGATTGAGGTGTTCAAGAATTCATTCTTTCCTAGAACTATCGCAGAGTGGAACTCACTGTCACCAAGTACAGTAGGGGCATTGTCAATAGATAGCTTTAAACAATGTCTAGAGCTAGAAGTTCAAGGGTTAGGTGTAACAAGTCGATCGGTGTAATATAGCCAGCTGCCGCCGCGCCGCGTGCCTGCGAAGCTGGTGTGTTACGCCGAAAGGCGGCTATACCGGCTATACAGATACAGATACAGACAGATACAGAACAACAATCTTCAAGTCAGACAGTACAGAAAAACACACCTCCTTATTTTTCACCACGTTGACGTATCCACTGAGCGGGTGGGTACCGTTGAACGGTGCAGGGTGTACCGGGCCGGGCGGTCTAACAGGCCAGGCGGTGGTGCTCGGGACGGTCGTAGTCTGGACGTCTGTTTGCCACGATAACAGTCTCTTACTCCACGCAGTGTGCCACACGTACAGCGGCTGTGTTCTGAGTTCTCCCAGGTAGAAGTAGATTGAACTGAATACAAGACTACAGAGGATGACTCCCCATGAATAGTCCGATCAGGAAAGGTGTTCTACCCTATATGTAGTAAAAATAATAATGATAAAGTTTATTGCAAATTCATGCCCGGAGGCTAATTACAGGTAACAAGGACAAAAAACATTGAAGCAGAATACAAAAGAAGTATAAAATCTACACAATGAAATGTAATTTTCTTGAACTATGTCTGAAGGGTTTGATTATTCCTTTTGTACGCCAAGCAAGTGGTTTATTCAACTGACGTTTCGGTGACCGTCTGTCCCCTTCCTCAGGGCAATTCTGACTGGTTCACATTGCACTGCAGCACAGGTGTCTCTGCATTATGTAAATGTAAATACATACTATGCGTTTGGGAAGGCATCTTTAAGCAGCGGCACCTGTACTGTACAAAACAAACAGACAAACTTACCTTGTTGTTGGAACAGGGCGTCATGGCGGTAAGTACTATGTGTCCCTCCAGTGCAGGCGTCCGACAGTTCGCACACTGCGTTGTCCAACCAGCTCCTATATATAAACACAGGGTAGGTCGTACAGTCACGGTGTAGTTACTAAATCATACTTCCACCCGCACGTATAAGTGATCAACTGAGCTGGTGTGTTACGCCGAAGGGCAGTACATAAAAGCTATATAGATACACATACGGCAGAAGCTGGTGTGTTACGCCTAAGAGTGGTTATACCGGCTATACATATACGGAAGCTTGTGTGTTACGCCGAAGAGTGGTTATACCGGCTACAGTGGTTTAGATATAGAAAAATGTAACACCGGAAACTATGTGTATCTGTACAGCCGGTATATCCACACGACGTAACACACCAGCCTCTGTATCTGTTTCTGTATATTTATAGCTGGTATAACCGCCCTTCGGCGTAACACACCAGCTACACACTGTTGGCAGATACGCATGTATGAGAGACTTAAAGGGTTACTACACAGAAGGAAACATGCCTACCATCGCATGTGTCACAGCGTTCTCGTCAGGTACTAGGCTCGGACCGGGGCGACAACCTTTCTCAGATGTTCTCTTGCCCCAGGCGCCAGTTGACCCACTTCCAAATGCTGTACATGTATAAGAAGCGCCGCCATAATTACATGTAAGCGTCGTGCCCTGTGCTAATGTGGTCGAAGATTTTGGTAGATTACAGTTAAGTTTTCGTGTGCTGCAAGTGAAAAGACATATTCAACTGCAGGATAATTGCATGTGGTCGATTTGAATTCGTACTGGAAGGTTCCATATGTAGAGTACGAATTTGCTGTCCGGGGAAAATTCCAATTGAGAATCACTGGAATCATACAATGGAGAACACTCGGGAAATGTACAAACATTGTACAAACCTGGACAGAACTGCAAACAGCCAGAAACACTAGAAAACGGCGCACCAACAAGGTCCTAAGCGTGTCCCGGTGGCCATTTTTATTTCTGGAGAATATTCTTACTCGCCTGCTTTGCTACGGTTCCTTGTCAGCCGATCTTATAACTAACTGCACTTACCATGGATCTGAGGTAGCAGACTACTACCAAACCCCCTTTACCACGCGTTACAAACACCTATTGTTAAAGTCCAAGACAAAGCGTTGCTACTCAAATAGTCGTTGTACTGGTCTTGCTATCTTTCTTTCTTTCTAGTTCTCGACCAAACAGTTCGCTAATATAATCTGGACTAAGACCAGTAGAAAATAATTATGCCAAAACCTAAGTTAAGAGGAAGAACTTTATTGACACAAGAAAAGTGCAGCAACTTTCGTAAAGTCTATAACTTTACTTACAGAGACGTGGGTACAAAAAAATAGCCTACGTACAATACTGTAAATAAATCCTCATGCTGACTTTTGTGTGTCACTTATGCTACTTGTGCTAAGGTCTAAACGTCCTTTTATATATCTACAGTAAAATCTGTTTACGGTGAAATATTAATACATCTGTTGACGTCTCTTACCATGGTAACTGGTGTTGGGTTACATAATGTTGCAATTTTATAGTAGAAGGGATTTATACTCCTGTCTGACCATGTGCATGAATGTATTCGAGAATTAACAGAGCAGACCATATGTGAAGGTAAACATTATGCATTTGCTTTGCAAATGTTACTTTAAATTTCTAGTTAAAAGTCGCTATATAGTTGCCTTTTTTCACACTTCTGATGCCCATCACCAAGTGGGAAAGTTGAAGCTGATATTGTGGTATTGTGACCACGTTTTGAAGACGGTTTTCTCGGTGAGGTAGCGATGTGCTCCTCTCCTTCTCTCCTCCGAAGTCTTGTACTCCTTACATTCCTGCCTCGTGTCGCTGCCGTAGTAATGATAGGGTACGGACCTGGCGCCGCCCTCTCTGTAAGAACAAAGTGTACAAAAGGTTCAAGAAGTTTGTATCACATATATCATGCCATGTTTTCTTACATAAATCTTTCGAGCACGAGGTTTGGTATCTATAAGCTTTTCCTAGAACTATTGGTATCATGATTGAACTTTTTCTTCTTTTTGTGTGTGTAAATTCAATTTAAGTTTACACTTTACCATCGATACAACGTGTTTCTACAGATTTTACCTTAAAGTTTTCAAAAACTTAGCCTGGTTACCAAACCTAGTTTAGCTCCCGAGTCTCTTTCCTCTACCGCGAATAGGAAGAGAGGAAGAGCAAATAAACTCAGTAGGGTTGGGGAAAGTCGTGTTGAGATCACCTTGTGGTGCCGAATGGCAGCCGCACAGACCCTTGCGACAGTTCCATAAAAGTGTGTGGAGCAGATATGTTATGTGTTACCATGTGTTTTATGTGATTGTAGACCCTGTGCTATAAAACGCTGCGATTGCACGGGTAATGTCTGACCAGTAAACCATTTATACGTGACCGAAACCTTACCTACAGTACTCCCCGTTACTCATGCCGAACACACTCTGTCTCTCTCTGTCTCACTCACTCACTCACTCACTCACTCACTCACTCACTCACTCACTCACTCACTCACTCACTCACTCACTCACTCACTCTCTCTCTCTCTCTCTCTCGCTCTCTCCCACCCTCTCT